CATTCGAGAGAACTTGCAGATACCTTACTACGCTGCCTAAGAGTCCCACGGACGACACGTCAACCTTTGCCTGTAGTAGATGGTGTCCGAGCCTACGTCAGTTCATGGGTCGAAGATAACTTAGATCATGTTGGTGATGCTGAGATGTCCATTCAGTATTGTGCGATTTGCTATGATGTTGGTCTATTGAGGTCACTAGTTCGGAACTATGGTCATCCGATAACGCCATTACTTCTTGAAGTTGGAAATACGGAACCGCCAGAGTCACCTGCTCTTCCACCATTACAACCATCGCCTCAATTTTCATTTGGGCATCACTTACCTTATACAAGCCCCCACCCAACAATTTCCTCTCCGCATATAAGTCCTATTAACCTGCCAGGTCCTTCAGGACTCTGTCAGTTTCCACCTGCCACGAACCCGCCAGGCCCGCAATCTCCCCCGTCATCCACATCGCCCTCCCCATACAGTCCGACCACCCACCGTCTGCGAATAGCCCCTCCCAGTGGATCCATGCAGGTCTTTAGGCCTAGTGCCTCTCCATTGAGGCTACCATCGCCAGTCCTTAGACGCAGTATTCAACCAACGGCTGGTTCCACCCCTCGATTTAGGCCTAGTGTTCTTGTGAGAAGAAATCTTCTGTGCCGAACTCCCACGCCCAGAGTTCCATATAATATAAGCCGGCGCATAACAAGACTTACCAATATTACTGCTGCTCTGAGGCGACAAGGATCTAGCCGACAAGGCAATGGTACGATTCCAGTCGACAGGCTGTCTTTGTTGGAACGGGAATTGAGGGACTTGATGCGACTGGCATCGCTTCATCGACAGAAAATGCCAAAGGGAAGACCGCGCAAGGGTTCTTAAAATATGGAGTCGAATTGTTCATTAAGCACACAATAAAACCAGTCCTCTATTATCATTATCATATTGTTTTTTTTATTTTCTACTATTATACATTACTAATTTTTTAATTATATATAATACCTAAATAATTTAATTATTAAATCTATAGCTTAAAATCTCGTTATTATTCAAATTATCATGCAATTTTTAACAGCGATTTCCAAGATAACTACTTATTTACTTATAATAAATAATTTTTCTATTGTTATATTACCTATCACCTATATTATTTTATTTACCATTTATATTCATTTCAGGTTTATTGCCTTATTACTATTTATATTTTTTTATTATTTTCCCTTACAGTCCATGGAAGCGATTTCCAAAAAAGAAACAAGCCCGTGAATACCCGTGAACTAGTGAATGCACTTGATACCCATCAAGCGTCGTCTTCTTCGAGAGAGTCGCTCAATCAACAAACTGTCCAGTGTGAGTATATGTTGAAAAATATATTTACAAATGTTATTTTACTGTTATTTACCTATCTAATTATGTGCAACTAATCTGTTATTTATCTCAATTCTTATATTCAATTAATACCCCCTTAACTCCTATATCGTCTTCTATTAATTTCTCCGTTATATCTTAATGCTATTTCTATTTTCTCTCTATCTCCTCTACAACCTATTTCTCTTTTTCCACAGCTTCGTCTGATGTCCCGCTGTCTACTTCCCAAATGTCTGCCCAACCTATTACAACTAGGCGTTCGAGACGTGGTGCATACCGTTCAACCATATCATCTAGTCCGATACGCCATCAAACTGAACCTGTATCTCCATCTGAAGGCCGATTTCGATCATCCCATCATCCAAGCCGTCGTGCCTCTCGTTCTAACAAATCAAGATGTCGTTCTCGATCTCAGCCTGTACCCCCATCTGAAGGTTCTCAGCCAGTCGTCCAAGCTCGTTCCTATGATCTTGTTTTTGAAGCTGGTGGTGAATATGATCAAGCCCAGCTCGAGGGTTTGGCAGAAATAATTAGTGGTGATGGACCAGCAGGTAGATTGCAAAAGAATCAGCGTCGACCAACCAGTAATATCAGCATTCGAGTTTCATTTAAACGTTCCTTTAAACTCCCCAAGAATGTACGCTCTTCATTGTTTCAACTTTTTAACAATGAACTTCAATTTCAAGTGAAACAATGTGTTATTGGACTTGAGGTTCATGATTCTAAGCTTTCTAGATCAATAGCCCATTTACAGTCTTTTTTCCAGTTTAAAAATAGAGTATTTTTCTCCGATGTCAGGAAACACATAGTAGAACACTATGGCAATGCTATAACAACATTGGACGTAGGTGGTGTAGGCACTGTAAAGGTGTTCCGATCTTATTGCTCAAAGGATGACCCGGATTGTTTCAATATTGGTCCTCAGAAAGACCTTCATCAATTTACTCGCAATATTACAGCGCTCAAGGACCAGGAAAAATTTCAATATACATCCAAAATAGCATTTCAAATGTGCAATTGTCTAAATTACACTGAGAAGTGCCATCAAGAGCTAAGACTCATGTCAGTCCCTGAATTCGCTGGTTTTCAGTTTCATAAATTACCACTAATAGGTTGGTGCAAAGAGATAGTTGATCACCTGAAATACTTTACAGAAAACCCTAACAACGAAAGTGTGCGTCAGAGGCGTCATTTGGTACTTCATGGCATTCCTGGTACCGGCAAGAGTACTGCTATCAAACTTTTGTTCACTAAATTAGACCATGAACACCGTGTATTTTTTCCCAGGGATCAAGGTAACTTTATTCTTAGTGGCTTAAAAAATGACCACCATAAATGTATTGTTTTTGATGAATTCTCTTACAAACAGTACCAACTTAATTCGTCCCTATTCAAGAAACTCTTCTCCGGTGACACACTAACAATAGATGAAAAGGGTGTCAGCCTTGGTAACACCCTTAGTTGGTCTGAACCAATCATCTGCACAACCAATGAAAATGTGGACTTGTGGCTTGATCCAGCTCTTAAAACCAGAGTGAAGTTTGTTCAGGTTGATGAGAACATTACCGACCTTATTGCCTTGCATTGTGCTGCTACCGGTGAAGATCCGCTATCGTACAACCAGGAACCTGTAGAATTAAATCAACCTCCCAGAGTAGTAGACATACAAATGTCGGTTATTGAGGGGCTTGTTGAAAGGAAGAACATCACATATGACTACAATCTTTTCATCCCTAATCATTTGTTGGAACCTGTTGCTCAAGAGGGTGATTGCGATGATGACTTATCTCCACCGCGGTCGATTAGTCTTAATGAGTCCATGGCCATATCTCCAGTTCTTATTGGTTCAGTTGTTAACAGTCCGCATTCGCCGGCTAATCAAACTCGTCAGTCAGCTGTTCGTCTTCTACGCCAACCTATGCGCAAGAGGTCTTCTCATCGAAGGAGACTTACATTTGATTCAGATACCGAATCTCCTGCACATACTTCCGAACACCAATTTGCAACGCCTGATCGTCCTCCTTTATCTAGGAGTCAATCAAACCTCCGTTCAGTGATAAGAAGTCCTCATACACCTCATACATTAAACCGTCCTCCCACATCCTCTTGTACACCTTTAGCCAGAATCAAACCTTTGTCTTCGCCAGCACCTGTTAAACATACTACACCTGTTACACCTGTTACACCAGTTACACCATTACCTTCAATATCCCCCCAGTTGCTGTTCACACCTGTCTCCTCTAGATCAAATCACCTTGTTGCTACTCCCGTACCCCAAATGTTTCTCACACCTTCCGGAACTCTATACAATTCTCCCCAGCCCAGTACTAGTCGCACCACTCCTTCATTTTCTCTTATGCCTACATTCTCTCCCTTACTATCAATCAATCATCCTCCTAACATTCCTCAATCTCCAATTCCAGTTTCTCCCCAATTCAGTGTCTCCTCCATTTCACCCTATAATAGGCCTTTATCATACCAAGGTGTGTCTCCTCAACTTTTATCTACTGGTACCCAATCTCTTAATGTCTTGCTACCTCCCAATACAATTGTCCAAATGTTTCCCAATACCCATATTCCAACTCAGCCCCAACCCTCTCCTCTAAGTGGTATTGTTTATGATTCTGGTGTATTTTTGTCATCCTTTTCTGGTCAACCGTCATCATCTGTAGCTACTCCCAATATCAATTCTGCTGATTCTTAGTTTAACCATGCATGGTATGTATCCTATATAAATTCATTTCCCACATTAATATCAAATTTTTAACAAATAAAGTTTTCTGTACTAATTCCATTTTTATTTTGTTTTACCACAGAATATTTTATATATTTTTATGTCTATCACCTATTCATTATTTCAGTTATAACATTTTATTAATTTGCCATATATATCACTATTAACTCTAATTATGTCTTATCCCCTACAACTCTATTCTACATTTAAATGTAGGCCATTTCCTTTTAAATTCACTTAGTGCAATGTGCAATTTCATATTTCATCAACAATCCAATTCAAAGTATTATTATATCTATTGTTTATAATTCATCAATTTTGTTATTTACACAAATTCATTTTCTTTTTCAGTCACACGTATAGACCATGATGCATCTTACCTCAGACAACTTGAGCGAGACATCCTATTTCATGGATCCCAAGTTCCGGCTGATGCCAAAATCTGCTTCGATGGTATGTTCATAATTATTATTCGATTATTATTCACTTTTAACCTACTACTTTATGTATGTTATTCTCCAAATCTGTTTTCATCAAGTTTTCTCAATACAGTCTAATTTTATCTACACATTTTCAACTTTTATTAAATATTAAATAATTTCATAATAATACAAATTATCAAAATCTAATAATACTAATTCATAAGTATTACTCTACAGTTTGTTTTAAATTCATGCTGAAAACCTTTTGCACCGTTTCTTGTTCTACATTTTTTTTAGGATTTTAAATATTTAATTTAGTACAGTTATCATTTATAATTTATAAACAATCTTTCCCCTACTGTATTTATCTACTACAACTTCATTTTTCATATTCAAAACTTGTATCACTATAATTTTTTTTTCAGTTGTCAAGAAGTCGTCTTGCGCAGCCCTGCATCATTTGTTTTGCCATTGGTTCGGGCGTACTGTTAATGGGGAGTTCTACGCAGAACCAATCCTCACATACAACGATCCGTATGTGACCTTCACTAACGACAGAAGCGTCTCCTGGGACGTCAGCAACGATATTCCTGGACCAGTAATCACCCTATTTTGTGACTCCTTCCTGCCCTTCCGGCAGATTTTAAAAACAGAGCGGATCAAGGTCCACAAGGCGCTGAAGAGGTTTGGACGCAAGATTTTGCAAAATTCACTCTACAAACAACCCAGTCCCCTCATTGCTAGCCTGGCTTGCTTGCCCGACAGTGCCAAATTTAAATACAAAAGTGGTTAGTTACTTTATATCACCATTTTTGAAAACATATTACATTCCAAATACTTTATAACACCATATGAAATTAATGTTCTGAAATGAAATACTCCCTCTACTTCTAACACAAAGATAAAATAATTTTTTGACAATCTAACAAATATTTTTAATCTTCTTTTAAGCTATTACAGTATTTACATTCTATTTCATTTTTTTATTTCCTTTTTTTAGGTTCTTTTAAGCGCATCATCATTGCTATTAATGAACCTCATTCAAGTAATGCCATCTATTATCGTTAACCATAATATGTTTCAGTAACCTTCCCCAACTGTTTGTTCGACCGGCAGAAGGTGGAAAACCTTTTTGAAGTGATCCTCACTGATGGTTTTGGTGCCAAAGCAGGATCCGGTACCTCAAGGCAGTTGACGGAATATGAGTCCAAACAACGAGACCAACAGCATTACCGGGAGGCTAGCGATCAGCGTAGATTACTACAATTGAAACTAGAACGTGTCGAGGTACGATTATATCTTTTCTCTTAAAATTAATCATGTTGCTGTCTTACATAGAAATGCGATCACTTGTAATGCATTCAAACAACCGCATATTTATTTTACATGCCATATTTACGAGTGCCGTATGGTGCAAATGAAACCTCAATTTTGTAGTACAAGTACTGTCCTCTTCCCTTACTATTAATCACTATTTTCTCCTATCCATGAATGTTATCAATTCCAAATTATTGAATCAAATGCATATTTATTGTACATACCATAATTTACATTTGTTTTCATTATGTTCATGTTTTCTTTTCATTTTTCTCTAATCATTAATGCATTATTTAATTGTTCTAGGATTTGAATGCAACCTATATGGCGACCCTTGAGAATGGATTTAAAAACCTACGTCATCTCGCAACAACCACTGATGTACTTGCACGTGTTCAAGCCAATCTTGAGCAAAATCAGTTTTCGCCCACTGACGGGATTTGTGTCGAGCTCATTCGCCAAGTAGTTACCAAACACCAAACAACTTCAATTCTTGCCGATGTACTTAACATAATGGCGGAAGTTAGATCTATTGTCCAGTTAGTATTATTTTTTTCATAACAAAACCATTCCTATATTTTTTATTCAATATATTCACTAACAATTGCAGTTACAATTCATATATTAATTAAAAAAATTATTTCTCTCATGCCATCAATATATAAAACTTTCTTATTTATTTCTTTTCCTGAGCAAAGATTTTTTTTTTTTAATAATTTAACATTCATGTTTCATACATAACAATACATTTAAAATTAATTCATATTAATTAGTTATCAATATTAATTCATATTAACAAATAAGTTATTATTGTTCACAGATCTCAACCTAAGGCACGATGCATGTGCAGCATGACAAATTGTTGGACGAGTCACATGCCCAGGCTACACCCGGTGGAGGAGATTGTTGTTCGACCATGTCCACCTCTCCTACGATGTGAAAATCCACACAGGTAATTAAATTATAGGTTATTTTCTCTCATTAAATCAATTTTAGAATTCTGCTTTTTACTTTGTGCAACCAAGTTTTTTTCCACTTATTAAATAACTAAATAAATATCCATATACAATTACCATATAATTTATTTTTTCTAATACGCAAAGTTCATTATCCAATAATCTTTTTAAAACCACCAATTAATATCCCTTTATTTTTTTAATTTTGTTTTTTAATAATGCATAGTTATTACTACTTATACTATACATATCATGTTTCTAATACTCATTGAAATTGGCAGTGGTGATCAAACAACAGCAGTTGCCGGTGATGGTGAGGTTCTGTCCGAGCGACGCTCTCAACTTTCTCCTTTGGTAGATCCGTCTTCCACAGGCGCAGTTGAAGATTCTGTTGATGCCACTGATGGTGCCGTTCCAAAAACAACCAGCCCCGTCCAAGAAGCAACCATCCCCGTCCAAGAACCAACCATCCCCGTCCAAGAACTGTAAGTTAAAGTTATAGTTATATTTATATATATGTTCACTTTTTCCACCACAATGAAAACATTGTAGTACATCATACCTTTAATGACCATATCACTCTTGTATGTGTATTGCAAATGAAATGATTTTAAAATCAAAACCATGTGTTGTGTCTTAGGTTGAGTTTCTTCAGAGCTTTCTCTTCATCCTATAACAGATGTGTTCACTTTTCCCACCTCATTGGGAACATTGTACTACATCATACCTTTAAAGACTATATCACCCTTGTATTTGTATTTCAAATGAAATGATTATAAAATCAAAACCATGTGTTGTGTCAGAGGTTGAGTATTTTCAGAGCTTTCGCTCTCTATCCTCCCAACACTCAACTAGAACTCTTAACCATAATCACACTTTTTGTTGTTGTGACAAAATTTTATTAAATAAGAATTTCATAAACATAATAATATTCATTTATCTTTTACATTTGCGCTCTTCTTTTTCTATAAAATCAGCCTTGTAGCACAACTAATTATTACCTCTTTTGTTCAGTGAACATGGTGACAATCAACTTGAGGCAAATGTGGAGGGTGAGGGCCCACATGTTTCTCCAAACGAGTGTCATGAAGATGAAGAGTCCCCCAAATCGTCCAAAGTTAAAACTAAGTATGTACGTTCTCCTTATACCTGTTTGTATACTGTGTATTAGTATTCTGATACCTTATTAATCTTTCATTTCCATTATACATTATAAAAAAATCTGTCATTACATGTTTAATCTCATTTATTAAAAAAATATAGCCTATATGTACAACAATTAATTCCTTATACAACAATTCACATTAATGCCATCTTGTGCGGCTTTCGTACGATTATCTTGTTGTTATTTGTCCTTAATTAATAACAAAAACATTTGCGTCAATATTGATTTCAATATTTTTTTCGTTTTATCTTTATACATTTCTTAATTATTTAATTCAATTCATTACATCTGTTTATAACCATGTATATTATAAACTTTCTCAAAATCATTTCAATTTGTTTGAGTAAGCGAAGTTATTTTCATTGGTTTTCCTTTTTTTTAAGGAAAATTGTTGCCCGAACCAGGAAGCAGCAGCAGCGCAAGAAGGTATTATAGGTATGCTTACTAACAATTTTTTTATTAACCTCTTCACATCATCATAAAATCTCAACATTATGCTTCCTCAAATCTATATTAGTTATAACTTTTATTTTCCTTTTAAATAACCATTCAAAACTATTAATTATTCATTCATTATATGCACTTACAACAATACTATACTTCCTCTTATCTTGACCCCCTATAACCGTATCATACCCATTAGAAGTTACAACTTTTTATCCCAATAATTTTTTTCAGCACATCTGTTTAACAGAAATACAATCGGCAGGAACTGATCGCTACTGAAATTACTTTTCCTTGTGTGAAAGAATATAAGTACAATGATCTCTTCATTTTAAGGCAAATACTCTATAGAGCATGCATTTAAACTGCCTGTTTATTTAGTTCAGGATGTGTTGTTTTAATTTGACAAATATGTTATCTGGACTTGCCTATGTTCAGAGGGTTCCGCATAGGACTCTGCTTTTGTATTGAATTACTTTCACACTTTCATTTTTCCCTATGTTAATTAATTTTTAATTACAATCTACAGTTTTATATAAATTTATATAATCAATATATAAATTTTCATAAAAAAAATCATTCTTTGTAAATCTTCCTTTTTTCTACTTTTCTCTATATCCAGTTTTGTCTGTTTCAGAAACGATGCCTATGCGCCGGTCCATCTCCCCTAACTGATGTCGTCGAAGAACAAAACTGTGATTGTACATAGCCTTATATATACTAGTCAAACTTTTATTTATAAGAGCTATGACCAACCATCCTCACATATTTTCATTCAATAACTATTTTTTAATTATAATATTTAACTAAAATATTTTCCTGATTTGTAACATTTTTTTTTTTCGAAATTTCTTACGAACATTCATTTTCCTTCAATTGTATTTTTTTTAAAAATATTACCTCATTTCTCATTTCAGATATTATTCTCACTATTTTGTTCAATTAATCTTGTACCGGGCCTTTTGCTATATGAAGGTACAAGTTCCTTTTGAGCCCAAAATCAAAATGGAAGTAAGATACAAAATTTGTGATTCTACATGAAAGTAATATTATCACATTTCCTTTCAATTAATTATTTTATTATATTTTATATTCATATTACATGTTATTCTTTTTATGAAGTACAATTGCAGTTACTAATCCAAATTTTACCGTATTTATTTAATCAATTTGTAGCGTTCCTTTTAGTTAAATTTAAATTCGTAATTATTCATTTTACTTTTCACTTTCTTTCATTTAGGATCATAAATTATTATCCTTAATTGTATGATATTCTGAATGGTGCTGAATGTGTTTTAACCACGATCCGTCTAAGCGAAAGGTGTATTTTTTATACAAGTATGAATGTTTTTTATATTTTTTTTATATTTTAGCGTTAAGCTAACTCTAAGGCCTTTCAATTGCCTTATATTTGGGGCTTTTATAGGTCCTGGCAATGTATAGTTCAAAATCCCAGTTGATCTGGTCGATTATAACAGCAGTGTCGAACCTTAAAACAAATTAAAACAAACAGTATTAATCCAGGCGGCAAGGCTCGTAAGGAGGCCGCGTGGGATCTGTCCACACATCATAGTAGTATGCTGGCATCCTGCTGTGTTGTAGTGCCATATTCCCGCGGTAACTCCATGCCTGTGCCGCATGTAGACGGATCGTTCCCCATTTACCGGTGTTCTATGTCCCTTTCCCCTTTTTTCCAAAGCCTGAACACCGTTTTGGCTAGCTTATGCTAGCCTTAATTAGTAGAGTCCAATTTCACTTCTTAGGCCCGTTAATAGTGGGGGGTCTAAGATTTTATCCTAGCCACTAACCTGACCGTTTGCCCGCTTTGGCACGGTCTAAGCACTAGATGCGTTTGTCACTTTGCTTACACCCTTTTTGTCTCTCTTCCTGTTTCAGTTCCTAACTGTCATTTAGTTTCACTGACTATTAGGGTGATTCATTGTTGTAGGTCAAGGACTGTTGGTCATAGTAGCTCTTGTGTATTATCTTGGTGTTTTTATTATGTAAATATATATTTAATGATTGACATGTTAAATTTTTTGTCATTTGTGAATAGATAATATAATGCTAAGACTGTATTTTATGGTCCATTTCCAATTTATTGTTGATTTAATGTCGTAGTTTTTTTTAATTAATCTTGTGTATTTAATTGTTATTACTGTGTCAATAATTGTTCTCTCAGTACTTGTTTAAGATTAAGTTGGTGATAGGAGAAAGACTGTACGTAAAATAGAGAATGACTGATATTAAAATTAATTCTTTAAGTAATCATGGTCAGGAGTGTTAAATTTTATAATACTTTGACATAGGCCTATAACCAAAGACTGAATTAATATTGTTATTAGCAATGTTGTATTATAAAGAATTGTGCAATGTCCATTTAAGATTTTAAAACTCAAATATGTTCACATATTTTATTTTTTGTGATACAAGTGCTGCATATTTAATTCCATTGTAAATACTTAATTTTCTTTTTATATTGACTGTTATATAAATTCTCCATGTTTATTGTTATTTAATTCTAATGCGTGTTGCAATTTTAATGGCATCTACAGGTTTCTACCTGAGCACTTACGCTGATGACTCATGCAGATATCAATTACTAATTTTTAATAAATGAACATTCATTGTTATCTGCTTACTTCTGTCTTTTGTTTTATAATCCTGTTTAGACACCTTTTAGCCATTAATCATTTCAATTTCTAATACTCTACCTTATGTATTTGATACGCTCCATACAGACAAAATCATGTTCCAAACCAAAATTTTCAATGCATTAAATCTTTTGAAATATCCTAAAACCATACATGCTTATTTATTAATCACTTACCTAATATGTTAATGTAACACTCAATATATCAAACACATTTAATATACTCTTATTAAATTCTTTTATAACTCCTTTAAACATGGTTTTGTGTAACAGCAAAGTTACATGTCTTTTTTCATTGCACTTTGAAGTAAGTTGTGTGGTGATGCTGTCCTCCCACTTGTCTCAACTGGAACATGACCAAGGTCAAAAGGTCAATGCCATTAAAATAATCCCCTTTCATCCGAATATAATCTTGAATTGTAATGACTCTTTATTATCAAAGATCATAGGTAATGATGATTGAATAACAATAAACATGGAGAATTTATATAACAGTCAATATAAAAAGAAAATTAAGTATTTACAATGGAATTAAATATGCAGCACTTGTATCACAAAAAATAAAATATGTGAACATATTTGAGTTTTAAAATCTTAAATGGACATTGCACAATTCTTTATAATACAACATTGCTAATAACAATATTAATTCAGTCTTTGGTTATAGGCCTATGTCAAAGTATTATAAAATTTAACACTCCTGACCATGATTACTTAAAGAATTAATTTTAATATCAGTCATTCTCTATTTTACGTACAGTCTTTCTCCTATCACCAACTTAATCTTAAACAAGTACTGAGAGAACAATTATTGACACAGTAATAACAATTAAATACACAAGATTAATTAAAAAAAACTACGACATTAAATCAACAATAAATTGGAAATGGACCATAAAATACAGTCTTAGCATTATATTATCTATTCACAAATGACAAAAAATTTAACATGTCAATCATTAAATATATATTTACATAATAAAAACACCAAGATAATACACAAGAGCTACTATGACCAACAGTCCTTGACCTACAACAATGAATCACCCTAATAGTCAGTGAAACTAAATGACAGTTAGGAACTGAAACAGGAAGAGAGACAAAAAGGGTGTAAGCAAAGTGACAAACGCATCTAGTGCTTAGACCGTGCCAAAGCGGGCAAACGGTCAGGTTAGTGGCTAGGATAAAATCTTAGACCCCCCACTATTAACGGGCCTAAGAAGTGAAATTGGACTCTACTAATTAAGGCTAGCATAAGCTAGCCAAAACGGTGTTCAGGCTTTGGAAAAAAGGGGAAAGGGACATAGAACACCGGTAAATGGGGAACGATCCGTCTACATGCGGCACAGGCATGGAGTTACCGCGGGAATATGGCACTACAACACAGCAGGATGCCAGCATACTACTATGATGTGTGGACAGATCCCACGCGGCCTCCTTACGAGCCTTGCCGCCTGGATTAATACTGTTTGTTTTAATTTGTTTTAAGGTTCGACACTGCTGTTATAATCGACCAGATCAACTGGGATTTTGAACTATACATTGCCAGGACCTATAAAAGCCCCAAATATAAGGCAATTGAAAGGCCTTAGAGTTAGCTTAACGCTAAAATATAAAAAAAATATAAAAAACATTCATACTTGTATAAAAAATACACCTTTCGCTTAGACGGATCGTGGTTAAAACACATTCAGCACCATTCAGAATATCATACAATTAAGGATAATAATTTATGATCCTAAATGAAAGAAAGTGAAAAGTAAAATGAATAATTACGAATTTAAATTTAACTAAAAGGAACGCTACAAATTGATTAAATAAATACGGTAAAATTTGGATTAGTAACTGCAATTGTACTTCATAAAAAGAATAACATGTAATATGAATATAAAATATAATAAAATAATTAATTGAAAGGAAATGTGATAATATTACTTTCATGTAGAATCACAAATTTTGTATCTTACTTCCATTTTGATTTTGGGCTCAAAAGGAACTTGTACCTTCATATAGCAAAAGGCCCGGTACAAGATTAATTGAACAAAATAGTGAGAATAATATCTGAAATGAGAAATGAGGTAATATTTTTAAAAAAAATACAATTGAAGGAAAATGAATGTTCGTAAGAAATTTCGAAAAAAAAAAATGTTACAAATCAGGAAAATATTTTAGTTAAATATTATAATTAAAAAATAGTTATTGAATGAAAATATGTGAGGATGGTTGGTCATAGCTCTTATAAATAAAAGTTTGACTAGTATATATAAGGCTATGTACAATCACAGTTTTGTTCTTCGACGACATCAGTTAGGGGAGATGGACCGGCGCATAGGCATCGTTTCTGAAACAGACAAAACTGGATATAGAGAAAAGTAGAAAAAAGGAAGATTTACAAAGAATGATTTTTTTTATGAAAATTTATATATTGATTATATAAATTTATATAAAACTGTAGATTGTAATTAAAAATTAATTAACATAGGGAAAAATGAAAGTGTGAAAGTAATTCAATACAAAAGCAGAGTCCTATGCGGAACCCTCTGAACATAGGCAAGTCCAGATAACATATTTGTCAAATTAAAACAACACATCCTGAACTAAATAAACAGGCAGTTTAAATGCATGCTCTATAGAGTATTTGCCTTAAAATGAAGAGATCATTGTACTTATATTCTTTCACACAAGGAAAAGTAATTTCAGTAGCGATCAGTTCCTGCCGATTGTATTTCTGTTAAACAGATGTGCTGAAAAAAATTATTGGGATAAAAAGTTGTAACTTCTAATGGGTATGATACGGTTATAGGGGGTCAAGATAAGAGGAAGTATAGTATTGTTGTAAGTGCATATAATGAATGAATAATTAATAGTTTTGAATGGTTATTTAAAAGGAAAATAAAAGTTATAACTAATATAGATTTGAGGAAGCATAATGTTGAGATTTTATGATGATGTGAAGAGGTTAATAAAAAAATTGTTAGTAAGCATACCTATAATACCTTCTTGCGCTGCTGCTGCTTC